CCTGCTAGGGATGTTAAATATCAGTTAATTGAATAGTCATGTAACCTCATGAATTATCAGTCAGTGTGCTCTGGCCTCATTCCCAAGGAGACCCCAGCCACTCTGTGCTGCTGCCACTGTATCAGAGACAGGAGCATGGGGAGGCAGGTGGGAGCTGGTCTGTAAGAGGAGCCAGTTTAAAAACCAGCTCCCCTCACGGACTGACTGCCTGTCACTCTGTGCTGCTGAGGTAGCGGTCCAGGGTGGCAGCAGCCCTCTGTCTAGGGGATGTTCTGAGCTTATGGACCCCGCATGAGTCAGAACTGACATGTGCTGCCTGCCTGGCTCCTAATATGCTTTAAATGCAGAGCCGCATAGAACTGATCTGGGTTGCTGGCCTGCCTGATAAAAAAATGCATTGGCAGGTGGGATGGAGTGGGGGGAATGTGTGTAGTCTATAGCATTAACCAATAAGCTTTTGCTTATCAGTTAATCAGCTACATCCCTAGTGCCTGCTGCTGGGCTGGAATGCCTCTGCACTCTGGGCAGGCAGGGAGTTTCATCAGTCCCATCTGTTAACCTTAACTGGTAGTCCCATCCACTAAGGGTGACCTTCACGTCCCTAGCTAGCTTTAAGTCAATCGAGACCTGGAAAAATGGGGGAGTGGCAAAGTCTCTTCCCCTCTGCCAGGGGTGCGTGATGCTTACAGTGAACAGCTGTTGTGAACTGCCAGCTGTTCAATCTAGACATATCACACCCCTTGCAGAGCGGGGACAGGAAGCGAGAGACTTCACGCACTCCCCCGCCCGTGAAGTCTCCTCCCACCATGCAAGGGGCATGTAGTGCTTAGAGAGAACTGCCAGCTATTTAGAAGAGCTGGCAGTTCTCTCTAGGTGCTGGGAGTGCAAAGACATCAAGTGCTCCCCGCACCCCCAGGCCAATCAGGGTCTGTGGGCAGGGGAGCACAGAAATGTTCTGGCCCCGCACCTTCTGCCAATTGGTCAGTGTTTCTTGGAAAAGTTTACTTTTGCAAATTTGATTGCTTTCCCCACAGGAGACCTCCTAATTCATGCTTGTGATAATGAGCAGAAACATAATTGCCACAGTTTTCAAGGTTAGTTTTTGAAGCTAGAAACTACAAACTAAGAAAGAATTAATGCATATTAATTCCAATAAGCTTTTACATGAAATTTGAAAACACTCTATTGCAGTAAACATAGACTAGATCTAAATCTGGTTCTCTAAGAACTACATTGTCTAAATAAGACTGACCATATCTCTACTCCATTTAGACTGTTACTTTTTTTACCTGAGAGTTTCTATTAATGGAAAATAAGATTTCTAGTTATTAACGTGCAGAAAAAAAATCTTATTTCAGAATTATCATGCTTTGGATTGTTTCCCATAGTTTTGCTTCAGCTTCTTAAAGCTGCTTAAAGTTAGTGCTTTACGGCAGTATATGACTTGGAGTCGTCTTAGAGAGGATTGGAAATTTTTTTTTTGAGTCTCCTACAGATAACATTTTTTTATTAATAAGTACATCATCAGAAATTTGCCTCTTTAAAGATGCAACATTTGGGAGAAACCAGAACACCTACTGCTGTTGCTTTTTAAGGCATCAATTGCTTTATGGTAGTAGAGTAATTCCTCGCTTAACACGTGCCCGCTTAACATGTTTTCGCGGTAGCACAATTTTTTTGGGGGGGGAACATTTTTCGAACAACATGACCCGTCCCCGTAATAACACAATTTTCCCTAGGGCCAGCTGGTGGCCGGCAGCTGCGTGAGGCTTTCCCTGCAAATCAGCAGAGGTTCTCCGCTTGCCGTGCTGTTCCCTGGGGACCCCCTCTGGCTGAATGCCTCGCTCCCTCTTCTCCGCCCCCTGCCTGCAGCTGGCGGCTGGGTTTCCCCAGCTGGCTGGTCACTGGCAGCTGCGTGGGGCTTACCCTGCCTCCAGAGGTTCTCTGTTTACTGCGCGATTCTCTGGCGACCACCTCTGGCCGGATGCCTCGCTCCCTCGCCTCTGCCCCCCGCTTGCCAGGCATCTGGCCAGAGGGGGTCACCAGGGAACTGCGCAGTGAGCAGAGAACCTTCGCCGCTTTGTAAGGAGGCAGAGGAAGCCCCGTGCAGCTGCCGGTGACTGGCGAGCTGGGGGGAAACCAGACACCAGCTGCAA